CTATCATACAAAAGTTCCTCGATCACCAAGAAAAGCGTCCTTTGTCTGGAGCGTCAGTGGATGAAACACACACGGCCGGATCGGCTGTATGAAACAACTTGCAGGAAACTAGTGCGGCCACTGTCCTGAGACCACCAGCACGCTCTCCTGTAGTGTATAGGCATTGCCACAGCAATCCGAAACGCAGACCAGACACACATTCTGGTCTATAGGTACAGTCACAGCCTCTGACAGGAGAGACCAAAGCACATTCATGTTGCACATGAAATTCATAAGGAAATAACAGAAAAGGGACACAAGATCACCGACCCCGGCCGAATACGTAAATATGAGTCTATTACCACACACCGCTGAGTCATGGTTTCAGAGCTGAGCTCCTGATCAAAGTTTGGCACTCTGGCTCGGCCCACACAGCCAGAGGACACGCCCGGTCAATGTCTCTGTGACTGACCGGGAATAAAACACAGCCCGGAGCGGGCTAGAGATGAGGACTATTTGAATGTTCAAGTCCAGTCTTAGAATCGCACCACCTACATGGACCTGGGCAGATCACTTTAACTTTTCCTACTGCTCTACCAGCAGGTGCAGATCTGCATTGGACTGCTCTAACTCCCCGAGGCGTCAGGAAGGTCCCAAGAGTTATACAAATTCACATTCTCCCTCTCTCTGTCTCTCTGTCTGTCTGTTTCTCTGTGTGTGTCTCTCTTTCTCTCCCTCTCCTTCTGTTCTGCCCCCTCCATTCTTCATACTTTTCTATTTATTGCCTTTCCCTCTCCCTCTTTGTTCAAACAAACACACAGAGATGCACAATTCAGTGGATAATCGCTTCATCTCAGAGAAACCTTGAAACAGAAAGCAAAACGAACTTTTAAAAAACAAGGATTGGGAAACAACATTATTTTAAAGGAATGGAAAAACAAAAATTCGCCAGTTCAGTTTTAGGCAGCCTAAACAGTTCTAGACACTTCATAATGATTCTGTGTGACTTCTCCACAGCTCAGTTTCACTCTCTCCCTTTTTTTGTCTTTAATATCAGATTTTACTTCCTTACCAGTTCTAACGGTGTTATCAATGACAGCTCGGGGTGGGGGTGGGTGACATTGTTTGGTTGCAGTCCCTTAGCAAGGGCCTCCCGTCCAGAGGGTTTGTCTCTCAGTCTGACTCTATTCCATTTAGTCTAATGTTTCATTTCTGGGTCTCACCCTTGATCCACATTTGTGCTCTAGGGCCTCACTTCTCCTTTCAGACTGCATGGAGGCTACCAGTCAGAGTTGCATGGCAGTCTAGGAACTCAGCTAATAAGTTCCTCTATCCCAGCGGACTTAGGTCTTCCTAAACATCCTGTTACACATAAAATGCTCATAAACTGAGTGGTGAAGAAATCCTTAAAACCTGCAACAGTAAGCTATCACATCTGGTATATGCTTTGGGGGAGGAAAAGGCAATTTTAGAGGAAGTGCTGAAAAGGTTTTTCACTTTCATATCTAAAGTGTCTGTCTGTGACATTCACAAGTCCAGATCTGTTGACAAGTCAGGGCATGGATTGGGCTTTCTTGCATTCTCCCAGTCTCTGCTTTTCAGCTTCTTTTTGGATATGGTCTCCCTCCGTTAGAATAGAAGCTCCTTGAGGGCAGGGACTGTCTTTTTTCTTATTTGTATCCCCATTGCTTAGCATAGGGCCTGGTACATAGAAGAGTTCACCCCTGTGGATCACCTGACATTTACATTGTTTTAACTAACTTTTCTTGATAACTAAGTCCTATCTAGGTCACATTTGATCTCTGAAGCAGCTAATTGGAAGAAGTCTGACACCTTTCGAAACTCATCAGTCTCTTCTCTCCATTGCCACTATTCCTGTCTTGCACAGAAAACCCCAAACACTCTCTTCAAATTTGTAGTAGGTGAGGGCTAGCTCTAGACAGGAGTTGGCACAGGGCCAGTGTCCTCTACTAACAACAACAACAAAAAAAGTAGTGAAAGCAGGCAACACAAAGTTTACCAGAACAAAGAAATGCTTACCCAGAGTGGTCTTTCCCTCTACACACACAATAGTGTGGGAGACAGGAAGCAACAGAATCAATCAATCAATAAGCATTTATCAAGCACCTACTATGTGCCAGGCACTGTGCTAAATACTGGGGATGTGAAAAGAGGCAGAAAGGATAAGAGATGCTTGAGGATAGGGAAGTAGCAGGTGATGCTGGGAAGCTATACAAAGCTACCATGCTCATCCTCTTGCTGTCTGGAAGGGGGGAGAGGGGGGAAGAAGAAAGTGCCTAGATCACTCTACAAACAACTCACTTCTACTCCTCCCCACTGCTGCTTCCCTAAGGTGAGTTAATGTCCCTTTTCATATGATTAGTAAGAAAAGTTACTGTTTTTGATTGCGACAAGCTGTAGTATGCAAGAGTGATATGGATGTCATTAATAACTGTTTTATAATTATGGGACAAATGTCTTATTGAATCATAGAGAGAAAATAAGAATTTGATTACTCATCATGAGAGTTAAAGTTGGACCATTTTGAGAGAGGACCCAGAGTTTGAACCCAGAAAGAAGGGAGAGAGAGGTAAAAGAACAGATTTCATAATTGTATCAGTTAAGTTTGAGACTGGAAGTGATGGATATTACAGCTGCTGTTAAGAAATAAGTTCAAGTAAGGGGAGTAACTTGAAAGCAGAGAAATCACTTAGTATATTGACCAGTTTGGTTGAGACTATCATGTTCAGTGAAGTGTTGGGTAAGCACAGAATGGATCATCTCAGCTTAGCAATGGAACTATCTGTTCAACATAGAGGCTATGTTCATCAAGGAATTTTATGGATTGTTCCTGAGACAGAAAGATAACACTGAGGTTTATTGTTCTAGACTTGTTAGTTACCCCCTAGGTCATAGGTTTTCCTAATTCATGTGTTTCCTTGGCACATTTCTGTGTATACTAAGCCCTCTCCACACACACACAGAGACAGATACTGAGTACATAGGTGAGAGAGGTGATCCAGGTTTATTCATGGATTATGATGTATTTATTATTCCTGTATTTACTTTAATATATAAGTACTTGTGATATTATTTTGTTAGATAAATAGTTATATTTAAGATCCAAAAATATCATTACTGGGAGTAGCTGGTTTTGTGTAAATGAAAAGACATGTCAGGGCTTCCAAGCTGAAGTGGTAAGGGGCATGTAACAATAAGGTTACCCCTAGGACCCTGGGAGAGATTGGGTGTAACCATGTGGTAACGATCCTTCTCTGAGAAATTAGCCCTGAGTAAGAGTAGAATGGAGTGAGTAAATATGCCCTATATGAGACATGTAAGGTGCTATAGTGTGGAGTCACTTGGAAATGATTGGGATACTTGAAAGTGAAGAAGAAACCGGCACTGTAGAGTAACAGATGTCTGAGGTCCCAGTTTCCAGCTTGGTATTGGGACGTCTCAGGATTCCTTACCACACTCCCCCCACCAAGGTACTTAGCGCTCCAGGGAGTTGAAGAATCTGACTTCCTTCTGTTCCTATTCTTATTTCACCTATTAGCCTTTTGAATCCTGCCTTGGCCATCTAAGTTGTCTTCTATCGTCTCCAACTCAGCATACAAAAATAGAATTCACTATCTTTTCCCCAAAACCTTTATCATCTTTCAAACTTTCTTGTTATGAGTTTGGGGACTATTATTATCCCCAGTACCCAGGCTCCCAACCTGGTATTAGCCTTAACTCCTCACTCTAATTAACTTCACATATCCAATACACTGCCAAATCTCATAATGTCTATGCCTCTTCTCTCTCATAGAAGTCCTCTCTCCATTCACACAATCTGACATGTTAGTTCAGATCTTCATCACCTCTCACCTGCAAAACTGCAATCACTTTGGCACAGGCCTCAATTCTCCCCCCAATCCCATCCCTCCTCCATTCAGCTGCCAAAATGATTTTCCTAAAGTTCTGATCTGACCATGTCATCCTTCTATTCAATCAACTCCAGCAGATCCTTGTTACCTCCAGGATAAAATATAAGTTCCTATCTTTGACATTTAAAGCTCTTCATATTTTGTGCCCTCCATGGGCTTTCTTACCATTCCTCAAATTGGCCACTCAACTTACTTTGTGGTCCCTTTGCACTGGCTGTCTCCCATAACTGGAATGATTTCTTCTTCAACTCTGAGGCTTGGTTTACCTGGCTTTCTTCAAGACTTAGCTCCAATCCCATTTTCCAATAGGATGCTTTTCCTGGTCCCCCCCCCCCCCGCCCAGGTCCTAATGCCTTCCTCTTTGAAATGATCTTCCATCTACTCTGTATATATCATGTTGGAATATAAACTTGAGGGCAGGATTTTTTTTCTTCTTTTCTTCCTATCCCAAGTGCTTAGCACGTTATTGGTACACAATTTTTAATAAATGTATTTTGACTATCATCTGGAAATATGAAAGGCATACTATTTTTGCTATTATCCAAAGTACTGATAAAATTGTTGAAATGTATAAGGTCAAAAACACGCTCTTATAACTGTCCACTCTTGACCCAGATCCATTAGGAATATAGACATCTGAGATATAGTTTGGTCTCTACCAGTGCAAGACAACACACATATGCACATGCTTAATGAGGACTCTCAATGGCCAAGTAAACTTCGAGGTTTATGAGGAACTCAGCTTGAATAACTTCATTTGAGTTTCTCTTCGTGAAAACCTCTTTTAGTCTGCGAGCTACAAAACATGGCCCGTACGGGGATCGAACCCGCGACCTTGGCGTTATTAGCACCACGCTCTAACCAACTGAGCTAACCGGCCAACCCACGATACCATTCTCTAAAAGTTATATTAAAAGGAAAAACATTTTGGCTGGACGTTTAGAATACAAAGCCCTGATAAACTTGAGAGAATAACATCGGATTTCTGCTTTTACTCTCCACTGGCTGCTGAACAGAACGTTGCTCAGAATTTACTGCAAGAGATATCTCCGAGAGCCGGAGGTTCTCGCTCTTCTACTGTTTACTTACAGTTTGTAGTGGGTTTACAACTGCTTTCCGGACTCTGTCCCTGCCCTGCCGTAGCGGAACAGCCAGCTTGGTCTTCAAGTCGTATCGCCCCCATTCCTCATCCACCTCATGCGCTTCAAATAGCGCCGCCCCCGTGCACGCTTGCACACAACACCACACCAATCTCCAGCCAGCGCCCACTCACGCTCTCGCCCAGAGGCCACCTCTTCCTGGGCACTGGGCACACACACACACACACACACACACACACACACACACACACACACACACACTCTCTCTCTCTCTCTCTCTCTCTCTCTCTCTCTCTCTCTCTCTCTCTCTCTCTCTCTCTCTCTCTCTCTCTCTAACTCTCTCTTCCACCCTCCGTCCACTCCTGAGCCCCAGCTGGGGGTTGTTACGGTTCTGACCGATTACCCGGCAGCCTGCGAGGCAGAACGCCAGTAACCGAACAGTGTCTTAGCAGAGAGAGGATGGATGAGACTAGGCAATACTTCAGAGGCAACTCTTCGCTGCCTTTCTCAGCGTCGTCTTCACCTCATTAGCATTCTTTTCTTATCCGCAGACCCACCGGAGGGAAGCTCACTTCCCTTTTGATTGGATCGCCTGTGGCCCCGGTCTCAATCACAGCCAGCTCCCGAAATCAAAGGGAAACCTATTGGGGAAAGCCAGGAAATGGGCCAGAAAACAAATTTTAGAGAAGTGGCCTCGAGATTGGAGAGCAACGTGTCTGCGACTTTTGAACAGAAGTGAGGAAGAGGGGAGCACGGGTTTATGGTGGAAACAGAGACAAAAGGCACGAGAGACAGAGAGAGAGACAGGCAGAGAAATACACAGAGAGAAAGAGAGAGACAGAGACAGAGAAAGTTCCTCCTTCTCTTTGTGTCATCCTCTGTCTCTTTCTCTTCCTGTCTCTGTGTCTCTACCTCTGTCTCTTTCCGTGTCTCTTTCATTTCATATCTCTCTGTGGGTCTCTTACTCTCTGTCTGTTTCTGTTTCATCTCTCATTTTTCTTGTCTGGCTTCATTTTAACAAGGAAACAATTACTGCTGTAAGCCAAGTAGGAAGACAACAACAGTCTACTCTCACTACCTAGGTCCACCTGAAGTCATGAACACACGGCCCTGGTATTACTTCTTTCCCTGTGGTATCTATTCTTCCCCCCCCCCCACTTAATAGTATTTTATTTTTTCTAATTACATATAAAGATAGTTTGCAACATTCACTTATATAAGATTTTGGGTTCCATTTTTTTCTCCCTCTCCTCCCCCCTCCCCAAGACTGCAAGCAATCTGATATAGGCTAGATATATATACATGGTTAGCCAGATTTTTACTGAGCCACTCTCTAACCTGAGAATGCTCCAAGCCTCACAGAGCAGGCCTAGAGACTGGAGTGCTAGCAATCAAGTAGTTTAATCAATTTCAGAGTGAAGAACATTCTTTTAGCTGAAGTAAAAGCACAGGTTATATACTTAAATCACAACTGAGGAAGGGGGGAGGGGAGGTGGATTATAGTCAATTAGTGGTTTCCCAAGAGAAACCCCTAAGTCCCGCAATACAACAATCCTAGAGTGAAGTCTTTGGGGGTTGTGAGCACTTCCTCCAAAGTACAGAAGCAGAGTTCAGGGAGGGGAGCAGGTTCTTAAATCTTTGATTCGCTTCACTTAAGGTCCAGTGATTGTGAGCGTTGTCAGAGTTTTGATTAATCAGGCTAAGCTCCATTGTGAGCTCAGACTCCCAAGCCAGAGAGGCTTGAGAAAACTACGTTATTAGTATATTCATTACACATATCATATTTATATGAAAATTATAAATTCCCTGCTCAACATGTACAATCATATTGAACATGTGGTATCTATTCTTTTCTGCCTTAGGTGGAATATTGGCGATTGAAGAATTAGAACAGCTTTGTGATCTTGGAAAGGTCAGGAAAGCACCAGGTACTAGGGCACTTGTCAGAGTTTGTAAGCTGTCAAATCCCTTGAAGATTAAAGTTCCCTGAGCAACTGACCTGATCCAGTCCATCAGTGAATCAACAGTGAAACTACTGGTGTCTTGAAACAAAGAAATGACTTTGTCCATTGACTATGTCGATTATGATATGAAAGTAAACTTGGTGAGGCCAATGTTTCGTGGCATCCAAGTTAAGTTTGAGTCGTTTTCCCAGGGACTGAGAAGGTAAACGAGAGAATGCGCTCCCTGGTATTGGGGGATTTGTACTTCTATTTCTATTCTATCTTCTCTGTAAGTACCGCTTTGTAAAAAGTAACTGATGTTAATTGATTAAATGATACTACTGTGCTAATCACAAAGTCTATTGATGATATAAGGAAGATACTAACTGCCATTTGGTGACTGCAATTGAGCAGAACACTCTGGATTGGGGGCCCCAATTGACAGGATTTGCGATGTATGCCAAGACCTCATAGGTACCCCCTAGAACACTAAGAGGGGTAAGAGATAGCTATTTATCCTTATTCTGGCAGCACCGTCAGTGGAAGTGTTCAAAATAAGATACAAACTGAATTGTGATATGGTTAAGAAATATTATATATGAATAATTTTAAAAAGTCTTTTTTAAAAAGCACTAGACCAAGTCTAGAGGAACCTAGAACAAGATTCAAGAGGCAAACTTTGTTGCAATTAGTTCCTCTTTCTATCCCACCAGAAAAATGGGGCAAACTCCTTCAATACAAAGATGGGCATGGCAGTTTGCCCCTTCAGTCTGGTAGGTTATGTTTCATCTAGTATGAATACATGTATACGTATATGTGTATATATGTATGTATATGTATGTATGTGTGTTTGTCCCATTCCCCCCCACACTTGGGGTGTTCAGGGAGGACTAGCAGGGTTTGCCAAGCCCTATTCAAGGCTGCTTATCTACCTTTGATGTCCACCTGTCACCCAACCCTCACCTGTGGCTCCAAGAAATGGTGGCCTGTGAAGTGGCCATACCCCTTATAATCGTCTTGGGCAGATGAGCTAAACCAGGTTGAGAGTAACTGAGGGATCTCGGGCCTGTTGGTTAGAGGGATGTCTACCTCAAGCATACTGAAGACTTCCCCGTTGGAATGGTCGATGAGAACAATTTGTTCCAACGGCCATGAATGCAGCTGAAGCAGGCACTGTGGATCACTTAGAACTTGGTTAGACATCGAAGACGCTAAGGTCTTCCACTGTACCCTGGGCTATCAACAGTCGTCTTGAACTTTGTCCTGTCATTGGATTTCCATGATGAAGGGAGAGTGAGGTTGATGACATTACTCAGTGCTGCCTCACTTAAACCCAATTTACAACCAAGTTAAGACATCATCCGTGATGTCACTGGTCCTCTTCAAAAACGGACAAACATTTATTTCTATTTTTATTTTAAAATTTACTGAGACAAATGATACAAATGTACACTTAGATACAGCATGAATGATGAGAGAAACAGGTCTGCCTCCCATACCGGGATGCAGTACCAACATCCAACCAAACGTTATTCCTTTGCCGTTTTTGCCTGGCGAAGGAGCAGTGGCGCTCTATGGGGTCGGACAAGGAATACAAGTACATTATTGTTTCGTCCGGTTTTGAAACGGGGACCATTCGCTTGTGAGGCGAACGTGATAACCACTACACTACGGAAACCACCTCCAAAAAGGGGACTATTTCCCCCTCAAAAATTCACTTCCGTGGGAAATGTACATATTTATATATAAACATAACTACGGGAGTTGTAAATATGGGAAACATATGGTATATTAAACACTAAACTATACAGTCTCGTCACCACTGGCTCCAAGAAACTTTGCCCGTGAGCAAAAGCTTCACACTTCTAACTCCTCTATAGAGACTGAAGCTCCATCTCAGACACAAAGAAAGCTCTTTTCATTTAGTTCTAGCTTGCCCCTGAAACTTTCACTCTGCTCTGCTTGCCTCTCCACGCCAATCCAATTCTCCGCTTCTCTGGCAGTTTCTCCTGAAGTTTCTTCAGCCACTTTCCAGGATACATTTCTCAGACCTCCACCCGTTACTCTACATAATCATCCCATCCCTGATACAGAAGGGTGCTGGCTGAGACTTCCCAGCTATGGACTTGCTCCAAATCTCTCTGCCTCGGGCCAGAGTTTTCCAGGTTACGAAACTGTTGGCTCCCACAGGGGAGCAGAAATCCCATTACTCACCGAGATGGTGCTCGTTTCTATTGTTGTCATTTTAGGAAAACGTCCTGCGCCCTCCAACCCTAAATAGACGGAAAGGCCTTCTATGGCAGATGCTTTCTCTTGCTCCTTTGTGTATGCCTAGCGACCATCTTTTGCAAAAGAAAAGAAAAGAAAAGAAAAGAAAAGAAAAGAAAAGAAAAGAAAAGAAAAGAAAAGAAAAGAAAAGAAAAGAAAAGAAAAGAAAAGAAAAGAAAAGAAAAGAAAAGAAAAAGAAAAGAAAAAAATCGCTCAATGATCGCTGACAATGAAGAAAGAGAAATGACATAACTCTTGGTGTGCTGATAAAGGTGTAACAACGGGCTGGGGGGGCGGGGATGTATGCAAAACACCCTTTAAAGCATAACCTGCATTGTTACCATTTTCTCCAACCCTTCATTGTCTAGACAATCAGTAAAACAAAAACATCAAGCGCAGATTTCTATCATTTGATGATTTCAATATGTAAATGCTCACACTGAAAATTTAACAACTGGCTCCCTCCAGTCGGTGAATGGTTCCTGCATACTTCTGGATGCCACCCCCACCTTCCACCCCCACTGTTGTGAGCGGACCCAGATTTAAAATCCGTTCTTCTTTCAAGTCTTTCTTTGGGTTCACCTTCAAGAGCTACCTCTTTCTTCTTCCATACCTCTATTCTCATCCACAACCTCACCCCACCTCCTGTTCCTGTTCTCTCAGGAAAATCCCCACACCTCTCTCAAGTCCTGCCAATAAGTGACTCAGGCTTCCAGTGTGAGAAAAGCCAAGGGTGTCTCAGTCCCCCGCCCCAATAACTTGCCAAAGGGAAGAGTCTAAAAACAGGGAGCACACTGGGATGTGTCCATCCTTCTCCAATCATGCAGTTTTCAATCAGGACAGACTGAAATCTGGCCTTGGCTACTACAGCTTCTGGAACTTCTCAGAGCCAATGCACAAGCGAGCACTTCAGAAACTCTGGCCACATCAGTCATTCTTGTCTACAGTCCAAGTCACTCTCATGCTACACTCATTGTAGACTCAGTCAGAAAATCAAGCATTTATTGAGCGCTTCCTATGTGCCAGTTACTGTGC